TTGGCAGAGGCTGACCTGAGAGTCAGGATCCCTGTGCTCTCTCTGCCCCAGCTGTAGGAGGGGCACCCGGTCGCCTGCTTGCTGTGTCCTTGAGGACCATCTGTACCAGCACCAGCCCCACCCTGCCCTCCCGACAGGACACATGGGCCAGGTTGTCAAGTCTGAAGGGGCTTTCTCAGGCACAGTCACCAGGAGGACTGGGGTCCCTCACGGCCTGCAGCAGGGGACCTTTTCCCTGAGGCCACGTGTACTCGCTGCAGTCCAGCTGCTGGGCCTGAGAGCCTGACCCCATGAGCACGTGGTCAGCACTGTGGCATCTGGCTGGAAATTTCAAAGTAAAATCAAGGCAGGTGGGTGCAGAGAAGTGGGCTTGAGTACTTCACAGGGAGACCCCCACACCACCTCCCGTGGGAAGGAGACCCCGCACCGCCTCCCGTGGGAAGGAGACCCCGCACTGCCTCCCGTGGGAAGGAGACCCCGCACCGCCACCCGTGGGAAGGAGACCCCGCACCGCCTCCTGTGGGAAGGAGACCCCGCACCGCCTCCCGTGGGAAGGAGACCCTGCACCACATCCCATGTGCTGCGCTGGTTTCTTGAATGAGCGTCCCTCATTCATCAGAAACACAGATCTGCCCATGAACTTCTGACCGTGATCTGAGAACTGAGAGAAACCAGCCCCAAAACCACAGCCAAGAAGCCTGGAAGCCAAAGAGTGAGTCCAGGAAATCACGGCCAGTGTGCGCTGCGGTCACTCAGGCCGACCACGGTGAAGGTCAGCGATGTCCATGGTAAATCAGCTTGCCCAGGACAGGCCCAGCGACGCCAGCCATCCTGGCGCGTGTATCCACAACCTTCTCCTTTATTCCGAAGGGGCTGATGGGTCAGTAAATTACAGGGTCGCCCTCGTCATGTTGGATTATGAACAAAATCTCGAGGGCTGACTCCCTTCAAGAAAACCACTGTGCAAAACCCATCTCCCAGGGAGAGCGTATTCGTTTCCCGAAAGACTTCTCTTTTGGCCACGAAAGAACACCCTTTGTTTGCCAGAAAAGCCGCCTGCCTGAGTGCAGCACCGCTAGATTCCATTTTGTAAAATCGAGACCGCAGCCCAGGCGCACATGCAGTGCGTGAAGGCCCAGGTGTCTGGAAGCTTCCAGAGACAGCGTGGGGCGGCTGACACGAGGAGACACAGACAGGAGGACGCAGTGGCCTCGCCTCCGGGGCTCCTGGAGCGTGGCTGGCTGAGGAGCGAGCAGATGGTGCTGCTGAGCATTTGTTTCCTGCAGGGCCAGGAGGAGGTGGGGTTGCCGCCGGCTGGGGCCTGTGACTGTGAGTGCAGCTCATGGAGCAGTTGATGTGGGGTGGGAGGGGGCGGCAAGGATTACCCCATGTGTGCCGGCAGAGCAGGGACAACGTGTAGAGAAATGCGGCCCGGGAGGTAAGGAAGGGTCATGAGAAAATACACAGGAAGACACTCCCCGTGGTCCTGTTTCCCTTGGAAAGTGGATGGAGCCCTCTGGGCCATGACTCCCCCTGTATTAGGCAGTGGCAGGTCCCGGCCTGGCAGGTGGCTTCTGCAGCCTTGGATTCGCACCTCTAACGGGTCACAGGGGCTGCCCCCACCAAGAAAGACAAAGTGTGATCCTGAGCAGGCCTTCGGGGGGCCAGAAGAAGGAACGGCTGCGGTGATGTAGGCTGAACCCCAGCTCTCTCTCCGTCATTCTCTCCGCCCAGGAAGGGGCTGCTTGGTAGGGCTGGGTTTAGAACCCTCCACGCGACGGCCAGAAGCCTTCTCAACATCTTCGGCTACTGTGGTGCGCCTGCCCTCCTCCCTCCTCGACAGCCCATCCTATTCTCGGCTACACTTATTTAGATGTAGTGTCATCTGAACGTGCACGGGCTGATCCCAGGACGTCACACACAAAGCACCTGTGGTGAACCCGTGCGGCCAGGCTGGCCTGTGGCTCAGTGTCTATTCCAGAAGCCTGGCCCGTGCAGTTCTCCTGAGCGGGGCCGCTGGAGCTTGGGAGGGCCAGGACCACAGCCCAGACCACTGTGACCGAAGACACTGCACAGGGCCTGGGAACCAAACCGGCAGGAGGGAGCCGGGCCACTGCGCCACCTCCTAAAGCAGCTGCCTCATAGGGAAACCGCTGCGCTCTCTCCACGTGAGACGGAGGTGGCCGGGGCATCCCGCCAGCAGGCACGGGTTGTCCACCCTGGGCCGCCTCTGTCCTTCACTCCCATTTAAGGGAAAACCATCTCTCTTTGCCTTCCTGCCCTGGGCATTGGAAATGAGCGGCGAGAACAGTGTACCTGCTATAAAATGCTCCAATCTTTCCTTCCACTCCCGTGGAATTTATCCAAAGGACAAAGATGGCGCTGACCTCCGTGACGCCTGCCCCCAGGGGCGGGGAAAACACAAGCCTGTCCTCAGAGGCCCCTGCGGCTGCTTGTGGGTGGGGCCGGTGGCAGCTCTTCCTGGAGGCCTCAGGCCTGTTGCGGGTGCATTTCTGTGATGTGTGTGGGAGGGGGTCGTTTTGGCGCCTGCTTGCAAAGTTTCAGAGGACATGGCCTCTGGGCGGGGTTTTAAACCGAAGGGCGCCATGCAGATCCAGATGTGAACCGAGGCTGTTGTTTGCAGTTAAGTGGAGATGTAGAGGACTGAACAGGCGTGCCAGCAATGTTGCTCTGTGGCCTTGGCCCAGCCAAGGACCCCCACCACACAGGGACCTGGGAACCACTGCTCCACGGTCGAGCGCTTGGCCCACTGAGCACTGCCCACACCCGGCTGTGCCTGGAGACTGAAAGCAGGGGGTGCCAGGCCCTGGCACACTGGAGTCCCGCAGCAGGAAGTGTGTGAGGGGAGACGGGAGAGCGCAGTCACCCAGGGGTCCCTACGTGGGCTTGTACAGGCCTGGTTCAATCTGCACGGCAATTGGGCAGGCAGACTGACCCCTCCTTTATAGAGGAGAACCCCGAGGCAGAGAGGCAAACGCGTGCGGCATCGGTGCCGCTGAGATGGAGCCGAGGCGGGGAAGCCTGTCCTCTCGAGGGGTGGCCCTGTCTCTGGTGCCCAGGTGCCTCCTGCCCATCTGCCTGAAGCTCCTGGTGGGGACGTGACCCTTAGGTTTCAGGAGGGCCCCGCTCCTCCTGTGGGAGCCAAGGACTTGCGTGTGCCCGAGCTCACACACACACCTGGCGCGTGGGCAGGGAAGCGGCGCTTCAGGCTACCCCAAGCATCTTTGGTTTTCCTTCTGCTCTGAGTAGGCACCCAAGGAACACACGCTTTTGCTCAGAGGCTGATTCCTGAGACCGGGATAAAACCTCGGGGAAAGGCTCTCACGCAGCGGCTTCCCGAGCCCCCTGCTGTGAGGGATCGATTACAGGGGCCCAGGGTGGTGTCTGCTCAGGACAGGTTGGGGTGAATGGACCCCCATCAGCAGCCAGTGGCAGGGAGGGTTGGGGGTGTGGGTTCAGATGGGCAGATGGGTTCAGACGACTCCTTTTCCGAGAGCCTGCGGCTCGGGATGTGCGGGTGGCACACGGTGAAGGCAGGTGCCTGTTTCAGGTGAGAAACCCCAACATTCCCTGCTGGGCTCCCGCCCGCTCCCTCTGGGAAGTCCTGTTTTCATTTCCCCCTGACACCAGCCTCTCCACACCCTCCGGAAGGCCCGGTCTCCTCATGCGGCTTCCCCCGCCACCCTCAGACATGGCTCTCCGTGCCCAGCATGATGGCCACCACCCGCTCAGGACCGGACGCTGTCATCGAAGTGCCAAGATCCATCTCCTGCTTTAAAATAACGTGCTGTGGGGCGTTTCTCCGAATCTGCTCTGATTCTGGGACTGCCTGATTTTAAAAGGTTTTTAAAATAAAAAACCACCTGCAGTGTAAAAATCGAAATAAGCCTCTGCCGCCAAATTCAGGTCTTGGAAGCCAGCAAGTTTGGAGTTTCAGTACGTGCCCCTCAAAACCGTTGCTTACAGTGTGTGTGTGTGTGGTTTGTGTGTGGTGTGTGTGTATGTGCATGTGTGTGGTGTATGTGTGGTGTGTGTGGTGTTTGTGTGTGGTGTGTGTGTGGTTTGTGTGTGGTATGTGTATGTGTGTGATGTGTGTGGTGCATGTTGTGTGTGGTGTGTGTGCATGTGTGTGGTGTATGTGTGGTGTGTGGTGTTTGTGTGTGGTGTGTGTGTGGTTTGTGTGTGGTATGTGTATGTGTGTGATGTGTGTGGTGCCTGTTGTGTGTGGTGTGTGTGCATGTGTGTGGTGTATGTGTGGTGTGTGGTGTTTGTGTGTGGTGTGTGTGTGGTTTGTGTGTGGTATGTGTATGTGTGTGATGTGTGTGGTGCATGTTGTGTGTGGTGTGTGTGCATGTGTGTGGTGTATGTGTGGTGTGTGTGGTGTGTGGTTTGTGTGTGGTATGTGTATGTGTGTGGTGTGTGCGTGCATGTGTGTGGTGTATGTGTGGTGTGTGTGTGTGGTGTGTATGGTGTATGGTGTTTGTGTGTGGTATGTGTATGTGTGTGGTGTGTGTGCATGTGTGTGGTGCGTGTTGTGTGTGGTGTGTGTGCATGTGTGTGGTGTGTATATGTGTGGTATGTGTGTGGTTTGTGTGTGGTATGTGTATGTGTGTGGTGTGTGTGTGCATGTGTGTGGTGCGTGTTGTGTGTGGTGTTTGCGTGTGGTGTGTGTGCATGTGTGTGGTGTGTATGTGTGGTGTGTGTGTGGTTTGTGTGTGGTATGTGTATGTGTGTGGTGTGTGTGCATGTGTGTAATGTGTGTTGTGTGTGGTGTTTGCGTGTGGTGTGTGTGTGCATGTGTGTGGTCTGTTTACACAGTGAACCACCTGCCACCTGTGGCTGAGCATGGGCCTGGTGTGAGCGTGGCCAGGGCTGCTGGCTCCAGTGTCTCCCAGCCCTGACTCCCAGGAGTTGGCCTGCTTCATATTTGCATATTCGTGGCCTGAAATCGATTTATTTCCTCAGGAAGAGTGTAGCCCTTTTGCAAATGCCAGCTATAGAGGTTTATTTTTCTCCCTGAGAGACGTAAGAGTAAAGGCTGAGGCCGAGACTGAAGGACAGAAGGACGGGACTTAGAAGCCAGCGAGCCCGGAGCCGTGAGACTCACTCCGAGGACACGGGGCCTCAGGGAAGCCGGGCAGGGCAGGAGTTGTTCTTGGCTTCGCTGACGGTGCCATGAGGTCGGGCACCATGTCCACTCGCAGGCTGGCCTGTCCTCTGCAGCCCGAGGTCCCCGTGGTGCCACCGTCCAGATGCTGAGATAATTCTGCCGGGCACTGGCTGCTCAGTGATGGGTGGAGGCTGTTCTGTGAGTTCTGCATTGATCTTGCTGGCTGAGTGTCCAGGGCGGAGGGGCAGGTGCTGTCAGAGTCTCCATTCCCACCCTCTCCCAGGACTCATCACCCACTGCTGCTAGGGGCTCACAGCTGTGAGTCTTCAGGAGGGGTCCCGCCTGACGTGCAGCTTCCCTCCCGCCCACATCTTGGCTTCGCTGTCTTCCCTGGCTGCCAGCCCGTTCCCCTGGCCTCAGTTGGCTCAGGCCGCTAAATTGAAATATCGCACCCTGAGGCCTTCGACAGCAGACCTGACTTCTCACCATCTGGAGACTGGAAGTCCGGGGTCCAGGCCCCCAGTGCTGCTTTACCCGGCCCTGCTGCCTGGTCTTGGGGCTGCCCCTGTGGGCACGCAGGCCCCTGGCGTCCCGTGTTCTTATAAGGATGCCAGTCATACTGGACCAGGCACCCTCATGACCTCATTTACCTTAATCAGCTCTTGAAAGACCTTGTCTCAACAGCAGTCACATTCTGGGGTATTGGGGGTTAGCAAGAGAATTTGAGGGACGCAGTTCACCCCATAAAACCGCAACTGTTCCCCCAATAAATCACTTTCACAAGCGCTCTGCCCTCAGGCTTCACTTCCGGGGGATTCCCCCTGAGATGGATCCATCCAGGTTCCCGTTTCTCAAAGAAAGGAGAGGCGAGCCCTGGTGTGAAGGGAACAGCTCGCCTTGGGGACCGGCGGATAAGCTGCTGGCACTGCCAGGGGCAGGCTGGGCCGCAAGCCCCGAGGAGGGAGGTGAGGCCTGCGGCTGGACCTCATTCTTCTGAGTACTATAAAATCTGGCTTTGTCCAGAAACCGCCCCATGTCCTTTTGTTCACCGAAGTGCCAGATTTTCTCCAAGTAATAATTGGCGCCGTTTAACAATACAAATAATCTGCATGTTAATTCGGGGGGGACACTCTTGCTGATTCCTGGGGGCTCAGGAGCAAAGTGATCATGAATTCCAAGAGTGGGAACAAATCCATCCTGCAGATCTCACCTGTCTTCTCCCTTGCCGGTCCGGGAGCTGCCCCGGGGGCCTGAGCCTTCACCCGCTACCGGGCTCAGCCAGTGTCCTTGGGAGCCAGGTCCCGGGGTGGCTCCCAGCCCCAAAGCCGATTCTGCCTGGGGTGGGACAAAACACAGTTTAATTAGTTTTTTCCATCTGTGAAGCAGAACTTGGGATGCCTGTCACCGCCGGCCAGGAGGCCGTGAAGATGGATGCATCTGTTTTTAGAAGACCTCTGCCAGCAGTAAAAGACACCAAAGCTCTAACACCCTGCTCAGCAAATAAGGAGAGAACTCGCACATCCAGGAGACCGTCTCCTTGTGCACAGGGAATGTCGGAATCAATGGATGGTGTGGCCTCCCTGGAGCTGCAGCCCCCGCCCCAGGCCCCAGAGTCACATGGCCTGGGGAGCTCACATCCTGGCCTGTTTGGTCACCCCCATTCTCTGAGGGCATCCTTCTACTCAAAGTTGTCGGGATGGGAGCAGGTGGGGGTCCAGCTTTGCTAATTTCTTATTAAGTGCATTATTATGATTTTTGAGACGGAATCTTGCTCTGTCATCAAGGCTGGAGTGCAGTGGTGCGATCTCAACTCACTGCAACCTCTGCCTCCCAGGTTCAGGCGATTCTCCTGCCTCAGCCTCTGGAGTAGGTGGGACTACAGGTGTACGCCGCCACGCCCCGCTAATTTTTATACGGGGTTTCACTGTGTTGAGCAGGCTGGTCTTGAACTCCTGACCTCAGGTGATCCGCCCGTCTTGGCCTTCCAAAGTACTAGGATTACAGGTGTGAGCCACCGTGCCTGGCCTAGTGCATTATTTTTTAAAGCGGTAAACCATCTGTCTGTGTGTGTTTCATTACTAGTGACTAGTTACTGCTACAACTCATTTCTTTGGGGACAGGCTCCTATCGAGTGTCCCACCACCATATTATTTAGGCCAGGATAGATACACACAGTGGATGAAAGGCTGGAAGATGAATCTTATGTCAAAGCTTCACTCTGGGAAGGCACAGAGCTAGAGTTTGCTCCTGCAGGTGGGCACCGCTGACTGACAGCTGGAAAATTCCAGATTCCCAGGGCACCAGTTTCTTGAAGTGGCATGAACCCTGGTAGGCTCTTTGAAGTGTGTACCCAAAAATGGTGGGGTGGGGGTCTGTGCAGGAGCCAGGCCACCTGTGCTCAGAATCAGCAGTGCAGGCACGTCAGGGCACTCCTGGGAAGAAGGGTGAGGGGCTGTGGGCCTCAAGCTAGCGGGACAGGCAGGAAGACTCACCTGCGAAGGACAGCAAGTCAGAACCAACAGGGGAGCTCTCCAGGGGAGGGGCTTTCAAGCCCTGGCACCACCCAGGCTTCACCGGAGAGATGCTGGACCAGGTACCAGTAGACAGCCCGCCGTCAGGGTACACAGACTGTTGAAACAATGAGCAGTCCTCTTCCTGTACCACACAGTGGTCAGTCTTCCCCAACAGCCCACAGCCTGGCCAGCGGCTGCCGGAGGTGGCTGGTCCCTCGCCTCCCCAAGGCCCCAGCAGCTCTGCCCGTCTACACAGCCCCTTGCCACTGCCATCAATGGTGTGGACACCTCAGTCTCCAGGCTGCTGCAGGGCCTGCCCCTGGTGGGGGCTATGATATTGGTGGTTCCATTGAGGGGCTCCCCTGGCTGGCTGGGGTGGGTGAGGTGACATAAATACACTGAGCAAGTATCTCTGCAGACCACAGGGATCAGCAGTGTCCCTGTGGCCACAGTGGCTTTTAAGTGGGCCCCAGAGGTGGCTCTCCAGGCAGTCTGGCTGGGCTGTTCTGAGGCACATCTGCTCCTAGGACTGCCCATTCATTACGGCCAAATAAGCAGGCACAGGCGCTGGCCCCAGACGAGGTTTCTCGGGGCCTCCAGTGGGGGAAGAGCCCTCCTCTCCAGCGGCCTCAAGGCGCTCAGAGGCCTGGCTCCTCTGGGTTGAGCTCAGGTCGGCAGTAAGCAGGGAGTCTTCCTCCTGCTGCTCCCCGCTGCCTGGGTAGGCTGTGTCCCCCGGGAGGCTGCCTGCCCACCGTTGCCTGCCTGGAGTGCCAGGGTCTTTTGTGAATAATGACGTTACTCAAATTCAACCCTTTAACAAATAGTACATCTTTGCATGTATTTTGTAGAGTGGCATATGCCTCAAAGTTCTAAAGGCACCACAGGGTATCTATTCTGTGAAGCCTTCCTTCTGCTCGCTCCCTGCCCGCCCGCCGAGACAAGCAGCATGGCCAGCTGCGGTGAGCATCCTTCTGTGCATTAACGAGCAAACGGGCACAAGCATTGTCTGCGCCTCTGTGCAGAGGTGGGCTCACCACGTGCTCTTCTGCACTTTTTCTTTCTTCAGCCAGTGCCATGCGTCAGAGCTCTGTCCCCACCACCACACAGCCCCAGCCTTTCCCATGGCTGAGTGGCAGCCCATTGGAGGGCTCACAACCATCCATGGATATTTAGGTTGCGTTCAGGCCTTTGCAGTTAAAAACAACGCTACCACACCATGCTCTGCAGTATGCCAGCATGTGTGCATGTGTGTCTGTGGCAGAGAGGCGTGGTCTCAGGGTGCAGCTGTGGGGCTGCACAGTGTGTGTGCATGGTGCATCTGTGGCAGGGAGGGGTGGTCTCGGGGTACAGCTGTGGGGCTGCCCAGTGTGTGTGCATGGTGCATCTGTGGTAGGGAGGGGTGGTCTCAGGGTGCAGCTGTGGGGTTGCACAGTGTGTGTGCGTGGGGCTGCACAGCGTGTGTGCATGGTGCATCTGTGGTGGGGAGGGGTGGTCTCGGGGTGCAGCTGTGGGGCTGCACAGTGTGTGTGCGTGGGGCTGCACAGTGTGTGTGCATGGTGCATCTGTGGTGGGGAGGGGTGGTCTCGGGGTACAGCTGTGGGGCTGCACAGTGTGTGTGCGTGGTGCATCTGTGGTAGGGAGGGGTGGTCTCGGGGTGCAGCTGTGGGGCTGCACAGTATGTGTGCGTGGTGCATCTGTGGCATGGAGGGGTGGTCTCGGGGTACAGCTGTGGGGCTGCCCAGTGTGTGTGCATGGTGCATCTGTGGTAGGGAGGGGTGGTCTCAGGGTGCAGCTGTGGTGTTGCACAGTGTGTGTGCGTGGGGCTGCACAGTGTGTGTGCATGGTGCATCTGTGGTGGGGAGGGGTGGTCTCGGGGTACAGCTGTGGGGCTGCACAGTGTGTGTGCGTGGTGCATCTGTGGTAGGGAGGGGTGGTCTCGGGGTGCAGCTGTGGGGCTGCACAGTGTGTGTGCGTGGTGCATCTGTGGCAGGGAGGGGTGGTCTCGGGGTGCAGCTGTGGGGCTGCACAGTGTGTGTGCATGGTGCATCTGTGGCAGGGAGGGGTGGTCTCGGGGTGCAGCTGTGGGGCTGCACAGTGTGTGTGCCTGGTGCATCTGTAGTGGGGAGGGGTGGTCTCGGGGTACAGCTGTGGGGCTGCACAGTGTGTGTGCGTGGGGCTGCACAGTGTGTGTGCATGGTGCATCTGTGGCAGGGAGGGGTGGTCTCGGGGTGCAGCTGTGGGGCTGCACAGTGTGTGTGCGTGGGGCTGCACAGTGTGTGTGCATGGTGCATCTGTGGCGGGGAGGGGTGGTCTCGGGGTGCAGCTGTGGGGCTGCACAGTGTGTGTGCGTGGGGCTGCACAGTGTGTGTGCATGGTGCATCTGTGGCAGGGAGGGGTGGTCTCGGGGTACAGCTGTGGGGCTGCCCAGTGTGTGTGCGTGGTGCATCTGTGGTAGGGAGGGGTGGTCTCAGGGTGCAGCTGTGGGGCTGCACAATGTGTGGGCGTGGTGCATCTGTGCTAGGGAGGGGTGGTCTCAGGGTGCAGCTGTGGGGCTGCACAGTGTGTGTGCGTGGTGCATCTGTGGCAGGGAGGGCTGGTCTCGGGGTGCAGCTGTGGGGCTGCACAGTGTGTGTGCGTGGTGCATCTGTGGCAGGGAGGGGTGGTCTCGGGGTGCAGCTGTGGGGCTGCACAGTGTGTGTGCATGTTGCATCTGTGGCGGGGCAGTGGGTGGTCTTGGGAGCAGCTGCGGAGCTGCACAATGTGTGTGCACGGTGCATCTGTGCTGGGGAGGGGTGGTCTCAGGTGCAGCTGATGTGTCTGGACTTGCATTTGCGTCTGTGCTTACACTCGTGTTTGCATGAGCATTGCGGCTTGCACCTGTATTTGCAGTAGGATGGGGTGGTCACTCTCAGGTGACTCTGCATGGGATGTGTCTCTGGCTATCCCTGGCCCGGGGGTGCTCTTTCATTCTTGACTTCACTAAAGGAAAGCAGGCCTGGCAGTCAGCCTCCTGTGAGGGAAACCAGCCAGTCTAGATGTTCCAACAGAGGAATTTTAACACCAGGAATCAGCTACCGAGGTGCCAGAAGAGCAGAAGGGAGAAGCGCACTCAGGGGAGGCCAGGGCAGGAGGGCACTCCCGGAGATAGGAGCTGCTCTTGCCCACTAAGTCTATGCTGCTGAGCTGTATCTGGCTGTGGATGTGCTGCTGAGGGGCCACCTTCAGCAGGCGAGGACACCTGCCCTGACCCTAGTGGCCACCAATGCCAACTGGAAGCAAGAAGCATTGGCCCTCCTCCTGCAGCAGAGCTGGCTGAGGCGCCCATGGGCATGAGAGCTCTGGAAGTGAGTGTGCAGCTTCCAGGCCCCCAGAAACACAGTGCAGGGCTAAGAACAGAGGTGCACGCAATGTGCAGTAAGCCCTGCACCTGCCCTGCTGTGGCCTCAGCAGGAGGCCAGGTTGTCCCGTTGACTCTGACCCAGCAGCAGCCTGGGCTGTACTGGCCCAAGGCTCCATCTCTGTCTTTCGAAACTGTGCTACGCCCAATACCACTTTCGTCCCACATCCTCTGTGCTGGGGGCCGTTCTTGGTGCTGGGCCCTCATTAGATACTCAGTTTGCCCAGCCAGGGGAACAGGAGCTGCTGTCCTGGGCTCTTTGCTGGCACAGGACACATGCAGCTTCTATCCAGGATGCATCCTGGAGGACCGAGGGACTCTCACCTGCTATGGCTCGAAGACCCTCAGGCTGGGCTCTCCTACAGCAGCCTAGCACCAGCAGCAGATGTCACAGAGGGGACTTGGGACTGAGGGCTGCTTGCGACATGTCACCCTGGGCTTTCAGGAATAGCCTCTCTGGGGAGGAAATGGGGACCAGCCTTTCTGTGACATGGACCACGCAGGGCCAGCCTTGAGAGTCCTTGCCAAGAAAGGGGAGCAGAGCTGCCTTCTGTCCCCATGGAGAAAATCGAGACCATGCTGGCAGCCATCGACTGGTCAGGCTTGACCCCTGGGGGTCTGGGGCTACAGCACAAAGCACGGCAGGCTGAGGGTCCAGACCACAGACATCCACTCTCGAGGTGCTGGAGGCCAGAGGCCCTAGATGAAGGTGTCAGGAGGGCTGGTTCCTGCTGGGGCTGTGGGGCAGTGTCTGTCCGGGCCTTTCTCCGGGCCTCTGGGACCCTTGGCACTCCCTGGCTGGTGGAAGCAGCATCCCAGTCCCCGTCTGCTTCCCTCCTCACACGCGCTCTTCAGAGCTTGTCTGTGTCCAGATCTCCCCTTCCCAGAAGGCCAGCGGTCACTGGACCAGGGACCCAGCCTACTCCAGCATGCCTCCTAACGAATTCCACCTGCAAAGAGCCTGCTTCCAAATGAGTCACGCTCTGAGGTAGTGGGAGTGGGATGGAGACAGATGCAACTCAACCCACAACAATCCCCTCATAAGCAAAGAACTTCTTTCTCCAAACAGAAAGGCAGAAGTCTTAGTGGCCTGTTACACTGAGCTGGAGACCAGGCCCCAGGAGGCTCAAGTGGGCGGTGCCAGGCAGGAGACCAGGCCCCAGGAGGCTCAAGTGGGCGGTGCCAGGCAGGAGACCAGGCCCCAGGAGGCTCAAGTGGGCGGTGCCAGGCAGGAGACCAGGCCCCCAGGAGGCTCAAGTGGGCGGTGCCAGGCAGGAGACCAGGCCCCCAGGAGGCTCAAGTGGTTGGTGCCAGGCAGGAGACCAGGCCCCAGGAGGCTCAAGTGGGCGGTGCCAGGCAGGAGACCAGGCCCCAGGAGGCTCAAGTGGGCGGTGCCAGGCAGGAGACCAGGCCCCAGGAGGCTCAAGTGGTTGGTGCCAGGCAGGAGACCAGGCCCCAGGAGGCTCAAGTGGGCGGTGCCAGGCAGGAGACCAGGCCCCAGGAGGCTCAAGTGGGCGGTGCCAGGCAGGAGACCAGGCCCCAGGAGGCTCAAGTGGGCGGTGCCAGGCAGGAGACCAGGCCCCAGGAGGCTCAAGTGGGCGGTGCCAGGCAGGCCTCACAAGTGACCTCACCCTTGCTTGATTTGCAGAGGTAAGCAAAACCGAGCTATTTCTTGCAAATGCCTACGTTAAGGAGAAACAGAACTTAAGCTCCAGAAATCAGAGGCAGCCAACAAACTTACATAACCAGGGACTTTCCAATGGGGTGGACCCAATAAAGCAACTATGTCCCTGCGGCCAATCAGATCCTTTCTCTGCTTTACGTCAGGCAACTGTGTACCTGCGGCCAATCAGACACCTTCTCTGCTTTACGTCAGGCAACTGTGTACCTGAGGCCAATCAGACACCTTCTCTGCTTTACGTCAGGCAACTGTGTACCTGTGGCCAATCAGACACCTTCTCTGCTTTACGTCAGGCAACTGTGTACCTACAGCCAATCAGACACCTTCTCTGCTTTACGTCAGGCAACTGTGTACCTACAGCCAATCAGACACCTTCTCTGCTTTACGTCAGGCAACTGTGTACCTGCGGCCAATCAGACACCTTCTCTGCTTTACGTCAGGCAACTGTGTACCTTCAGCCAATCAGACGCCTTCTGTCCTTGCAGAGCTGCCCCATGTTCCCTTGGTGGAGCTCCTGATTCACTCTGGTGTGGGGCTGCCCAATTCATGAATGGCAATTTGCCCAAGTCAACTCTTTTAAAAAAAAAAATTGTATCATGCCTCAGTTTACCTTTTTAAAACAGACCTCAACTTGAAAGGCAGGTCAAGAACAGGAGTAGGGGTTCTCAAGGATGTCAGTGTGAGTGACCACTCAACACCAGGAAGAAGGTTCGACTATTTGGTCAACAAAAGAACGCGCATCTGGTCGCCAGCTTCCCTTTTGACTGGTGAGATTTTATTTAACTGATAATCCTCCGTGGAGCGTAAATGCAGGTAGGCTTTGGAGGATATGGTCACCGTGAATCTGCAACCCAAAAACGTTCCTTCAATCCTGGGCTTCTATTTCTGATCCTCTAACGTAAGGAAAGATCCCAAGATATGGGAAAATATTGATGCAGAAAAGATTCATCTCAGTGTAATTAAAAAATGCACAGAAGCAAATTCAAAATAGCAAAAGGAGAGATTTGGGTGTATCCGTAGGAGAGATGCCTACAGTCATTACAAACTGCATTGAGAAAGAGCACTAACGGCGCTGGGGATCCCCATAGTTACAGAAGTGAGCTAAGCTTACACATACACGCACACACCCCACACACACACCACACGCACACACCCCACACACGCACCCCACACACACCCCACACACACTGCACACACCCCCCACACACACACCACACGCACACACCCCACACACGCACCCCACACACACCCCACACACGCACCCCACACACACCCCACACACACCGCACACACACCCCACACACGCACCCCACACACACCCCACACACACCGCACACACCCCACACACACACCGCACACACCCCACACACACACCCCACACACACCCCACATACGCACCCCACACACACACCCCATACATGCACCCCCCACACACCACACACACACCACACACACGCCGCACACACCCCACACATACCCCACACACGCACCCCACACACACCCCACACACACCCCACACACACCGCACACACCCCACACACACACCCCACACACGCACCCCACACACACACCCCACACACACCCCACACACGCACCCCACACACACACCCCATACATGCACCCCACACACACCACACACACGACACACACGCCCCCCACACACCCCACACATGCACCCCACACACACCACACACACGCCCCCCACACACCCCACACATGCACCCCACACACACCCCATACACGCACAGACTGGATGAGAATCATACCCTGGAGTGTGTTTACAGAGGTATGACTGAGTGTCAACGCGACGAGGCCATGTCCCAGAAGGGAGACTTTTATGTGTACAAGAGGAGGTGGGCAGGAAATTTCAGTTAGGTTGGGCAGGAGCAGGCACCAGTCTTTCTTGTGGTTTCCTGGGAAGGGCAGGGCAGGTGGGTGGGCAGCTCAGGACTGGCTGGCCGGAACCATTCTGGTGGACTTTGGGGCATAGGGGCTGTCCCTGCTTGCCTGGCTCTGGGGTCATGTAGGGCAGGGAAAATGCTGGCTTGGTGTAAGAGTGAGATGAAGCGGGTGGTTGGGGTATAGACAGCATTGCCTGCTCTAGGTCAAGCCCTGTGTTGCTCCGAGATCAGCCAGCTCTGGGAGGGATGGTCTGCAGGGGTCCCTGAATGCCAGAGTATCAAGAATACAGAAAATAAGAAAATTTTAGTGAATCCAATTGGCCCTGTGATGAATGGATGCTAAAAAGACAAATACAGAATCTCAGAAAACCCAGCTAGGACACACACACACACACACACACACACACTTACCGATGTACACACACACATACACATACAGACACACACATACACACACATACCCCCACATGCATATACACACAGACACACACATGCACACACAATCCCACACATACACATGCATATACACACATACACACATGCACATTCATATACACATATACACACATACACATACAGACACACACATACACATACACACATACACACTTACCGATGTACACACACATACACATACAGACACACACACATACACACACACCCCCACATGCATATACACACAGACACACACATGCACACACAATCCCACACATACACATGCATATACACATATACACACATGCATATACACACATACACATACAGACACACACATACACATACCCACACATACACACATACATACACATGTATGTACATGCACAGGCACACATATACATACCCACCCACACACACAGGCATATATGCATACATAAACACACACACACAAACCCCCATACACGTATACACACATATACACACATGCATATACACATATAGGCACACACACGAATACACACTTAGACATACATATAAACACACACATATACACATACACACATACAGACACACACATACACACATATACACACCCACACCCACATCCACACACACACATTGCTTTATGTTGTTGAAATGCACAGGAAGGAAGCATGCCCCAGTGTTGACGGTGTGCTCCTGCTGTTGTGAATATATGCTGGTTTTTCTCCTTCTGTTTCTCGTAATGGTCTTAATTTTCAAACTCTCTATCAATGAATATGCATTATTTTTACAGTCAGGAAAAAAAGGGTTTAAACTATTTATGTGGCTTCCTGCACAGGAACCCAGCAGGCCCCGCTCCCACACCTGCTGGTCTGGGGACCCTGTAGCACTTCATGTCACTCAGGCACCGTGTCTCCTGCTGATGTATCCCAGAGTCGGGAGGAAAAGCGTTGGAGAATCGTGTGTGGCGACACTGGCAATGGGATGGGACCCAGGTCAGCTATTCCATAGATGGTGTCCTGGGCCCTGGGGAACCCCTGTCCTGAGGACAGCAGGTTCAGTGTGAGGGACCAGGCATCCTCCTTGCCCTTCTCAGCTGCCACCTGAGCCTGGGTGGGAGGAACTGGCTGGGACTCAATACTGCCCTACCAAGGGGTGGGACCTGGGTGGCAGGCACACTGTTGGGATGGCAGGCCCTTGGGGTCTCAGCCTTCAACTGCACACCGCCACCCGGCAGCTCTCCCAGACGTCCACCCCAACAGGTGGCCAGGGCTCTGATCTGCCTGAGACTTCCTTGGTTTCAGCACTAAAAGACCCACACCCCGTAGTCCAGGCCGAATGGGGAGGGCTGCTCACCTGTGCTCAGTGGCCCCTCAGAGCCCTGAGCCATGCAGGCCCTCACATCCCCACACTTCCACCCCCGTCCCATCCCAGATTTGGTCTGAGTGGGAGTTGGTCCCGCAGTCCCGATGGCTTCTGACAGTTACAGTTCCCTGGGGTCTGCAGTCAGCCGCCTGGGGCTGGCACAGAATGTCTCGGAGTGGGGGAGGTGTCAGAGGGCTTCGATGCACCCCTGCGCTTGGGGCTGTCCCCCCAAAGGTCCTGGGGGGCTATTCTCCACATGCCCCTCCTGCCAGACGCCGGACCACCTGTGATGGGGTGGAAGGACTGAGCGTTAGCTCCGTCTGGAAAAGGGTGTGTGTGACAGGAAATGGGGCAAGAGAGGGGATGAGGGGGATGGGGCCGGGAAAGAGTGAGCTTGCGGAGGAAGACAATCCCCTTGGGATTCTTTCCTGAGGTGACCGGGTAGCTCCTGCCCTGGAATGTGCCTGGGTTCAATGGTGGCCTCGAGAGCTCAGCTGGATCCCAGAGAACACATACCTCTTATTAGCATTTTTCAGAGACTTTAAACCACAGTCGCTACATAGGAAACATCGGCTCGAAATTATGGCAAAACATACTTTTGCTGATCAATTGGCTCCGTTGTGTATGCGCAGAATCTACACACACATTCGTGTGTCATAGAACTAGGACTTGAGGCAATTTTAATGCAGGATTGAGGAAAATGAACATGTGCAGCCGATTCTGAAACCAGCCTCCCTCCCAGGGGCCCAAAGACACCTCCCTGGGAGTCAGAACATGGAAGCTGGAGTCTCAGCTGTGCCACGGAGCGCCCTGGGACTTCAGATGTCACTCGCCTCCGTTTCCTCAGAAAGGGTGAGAGAAGGAGGTGGCCTCTTACCTTCCTTCCTTTGCACACAATGGCTTTCCTCCATGAAGGCCACCAGGGCCATGGAAATGAGCAGCAGGCCCAGCTTCTGGTGGCACAGCCAACCCTTCCACGGGAGCCCCTTCCCAAGGGTAGTGCAGGGGACAGAGGCTGCAGCTCCAGCCTCCTAGGTTGAGCTTGGACAGGGCCTTGGGGGATGTGCTGGCTGCCCTCCGCCCTCCCCCGGGAGCCGGCTGCCTCCTCCTCCAGCTTCAGCCCCTGGACCCCTTAAGAAGCAAGCGCCCCCTTAGAGCCTGTGCTGGAATCCAAGACACTGGTCTTTATTCAGGTCTCTGCCAGCCGCTGCTTGCCAAGGGGTGTGTCAGTCTCTTGTCAGCCACACGCACGGCTTCCAGCAGGACACCGGTAAGCTCCTGCTTATGCAATGATTGTGTTTCCACAGCAGCTGCAGGCAGGGAAACGGGAAGGGTTAAACTGGCTTCCTGTCCTGGGACATTTGGGGATTTTTATCACACGTCACTGTCTGTGACAGCCTCTGGGCCTTTGGAATATTCTGGCACAACTGCCGGCCCCTCAGGCTCATCTTGGCTCAGCAGCCAGTTCCCGGGCGGGGCCGTGGCGCCCCGGACAGGTCAAAAGCAGATTGGGACGTGACTGGCAGCGGGGAGAGGAGGCTTCTCACAGGGAAACGCAGTCTGTGCCGCCCTGATCGTCTCGGGGCTGCCCAGGGCAGGTCCAAGGCGGTGGGTTTCTGGGTATGTCACCTGCTCTCCCAGGCGTGTGGGCCCTGCCCTCGGGCCCAGATTCCTCGCTGCGGGCTGGGACCCCGTCCTGCTGGGCCATGAGCTCCCAGGAGCTGTTTTGCAGTGAGCCTGGCTGGGTCCTCCAGGGTCTCCTCTGGGAGCCGAGGGAAAACTCGTGGAGCTTCAGGATTTTGAGAGTTGCAGGAAACAAGACCTGAACTTGAAATAACTTTAAGCAAAAATGGAAGTTTGAGAGTCCCTGGAGAAGCTGGGCTTGGGGCCTTCAGTGACCCAGCCCCCTGCTGCTATCCACTCTGTTTCTCTCTGGGTGGGGCCTCTTTCTCTACTCGGACAGGTGGAACTCCTCCTGGGCCCGGCCTGGCCACACAGCATCCCACAGCCTGCATGGTGGCCCAGCCTGGATCCCTCCAGCCCCAGAGGCAACAGGCCCCCCACTGATGCCATGGGGGCAGGAAGGGGCTGGGATATGGCTGGCGGGAACCACACCCAGTGTCCACCATGCCCCCAAGACCCTCAAGGGCCCCAAGGTAGGGACAGGAGTTCCAGCCCAGGCCCCGATGCCCAATGCCACGTGCTCTCGCCCAGCAAGCTTCTTCAGCGTCCTGGGTCTGTGGGCCTGCAGTCGTGGCCAAGTTCAGCCTGACTGTGTCTGACCACAGGCTGGGAATGATTCTAACATTTATAGATGGTAGGGGGAAAAAAAAAAGGTTTTGTGACACATGAGAGTTACACGGAACTCCCATCTCCGGGTCCATAAACACAGTGTAATTGGCACAAGCCAAACACACCCCTCCACGTCTGTGGCTGCTTCTGCACTTTGAGGCCAGAGACCAGGAGGCCCCTTCCAGAGACAGCAAGCTGACCACAACCGCGGGCAGGAGCATGGCCTCCGGCCGCAGCCACTCCCCAGACACAGCAGGCTCTCAGCCACGCCCGAGGTGCCATTCGGTTTTCTCATTCAGCCGGCTCTGGCTGACGAGGAACTCAGCCTCCACCAAAAACTCCAGAACCCCTCATCTTGGTCTTTACGCCCTACGTTTTTTTCTAATACACAAGAAAACCAATCCATGACTGTTCAAAGGGAAATGCTAAACTCATAACCCACCACAAGCATCCTAAGGCCCTGGCTGATTTGAGGCCTCTTCCCACCGGGAGTCCTAGGGTCCCTGGGCCCTGACGTCCCTTCCCTGCCTGGGCTGTGATGGTCATGACTAGCAGGGCCAGAGCCGGGCTGGAGGCCGGTGCTGCGGGTGGGGAAGGAGCCTGCCGGGCACTTCTGTCCTCCCTATCAATGCTGAGCATCGAGGCGTGGCTCTATCACGTGCTGGGGAAAGAAAGGAATTGACAAAGGGCTACGCTCTTCCCGCTGTCCTCAGAGGAACGGAGGGGCCGCTGGCTGCTCTTTCCTGGAAAGCCGTGCACTGGCTAAGTGGGGCATCTGTTTCTCGGGCCCACGGTCTGACCAGTCAAGTGCTTTGGGGCAGTGGGGGAGCCATCTGGAAGGCGCAGGTCCCTGCTTTCTGTAGGGTTGGGGTCCACCCCTGCCTTTGCAACTGGGCCTGGTGGGAAGGGCCGGCCCTGGGGTCCCTGCCACATGGCCTGAGGTTGAGGTAACCACAGGTTCTTTGGTGGCAGTGGGGGTGGGGGTGGGGGTGAGAGCCAAGGACCTCTCAGTACCAACTGGAAGGTCAGGCTCAACCACCTGAAGCGGCCGGCAGGTTCCAGGAGCTGTGGACTCCCCTTTACACCGGAAACAGACAGATGGGGTGCCGCCATAGCTCCCCAAGGGGTATGGAGACCTGAGTGTGTCTGACACCCTCAGTGTGGTCTGGGAGCCGCCAGATCAGGGACACAAAGATCCAATCCAGAAGCGTTCTGCCAGGGCTGCTATCCCGGCCCACGCTGCAGAGGCCGGCGTGCTTGTTCCTGGCAGAGGGGTCGGTCAGCCATGGGCCAGGAAGCAAAGGCTCCAAGACCTCACTCCTCAGTCTGGTGCAAGCAGGCAGTGGTCACCCTCCTGACCCGGGGCCTGGGATTCCTGGGCGGTGTGTGCTGTGGGGGCACTGGCACAGAAGAGGCCCTCCAGGGGCCCACAGGGGCTGCCCCTCCCCAAGCAGTCAGGCCAGGCACCCAGCAGCCTGGGCTAGGACCTCTTCTGGGCCTTCTGTGGCACCATCTCCCAGCCGTGATCAGCATGCCCCAGGCTGGAGAATGGTGACTGCCCATGGGTGGCTGGGACCCTCCAAGTCCAGCAGAGGCTGTGTGTGCTTCTCCCGAGGCAGGCCTGCCGTCCACAGACTCTCACTTCAAGCTGCCTCTGCCCTTGGGAGCCCTCTGGAATGAGGGGATGCAGGAAAGACCCAGAGGGAGGCTGCCTGGTCTTTGGGGCGGGTGAAAGAGGTGTCTTCTGCAGGAGGAGGGGGTGGTGGAGCTCAGCAGGCCCTTGAGAGGGGCCTCCCTGATGGCTGGAGATCCAAAGGAGGAAGCAGCGTGGATTAAAATGGGGCCAGGACAGGCTCGGGCAGGGGTGCTCCAGGAAGGAAGGAGGGGCGCAGGTAAGAGCAGAGGAACCCGCAGGGAGGGCCTCCACTGGGGGACTGGCCCCCACTCGGCGCACATGACAAGGCCGGAGTGATTTCTTACAGTTCCCCAGACTTGCCTGTTCCCATCGGGTCACGAGGTGGATACAGTCTTGACCACAGGTCTCTGACCCTCCAGCCCCCCAACTCATGTCCACCTGTTGCCTCATCCTTTGCTCCTGTTGGCAGAAAATAAGCCAGTAACACCCTCCTCTAAGAGAGGCCCAGGGAGCCCTGGTGCGCATCAAAATCGGAGGTCCCTGGAAAGACGTGATTGAAATGAAGGAAGCCAGAGCTGGTCCTCACTGAGCTCCGGCTGGGCAGGCGCTTCTCACACTCTCTGAGCAGTGGGAAGCAGGAGCTCTGAGGGCCGAAGCCTCAGGCCCAGATGAGACAGTGGGATCTGGGCGGCCGGCACCTTCCTCCTCCCCACGCCCTGGAGCAGACTCTAACCCAGGGCCCTTGGAATCTCAAGTGATCAGCCCCAAACCTGGCGCCCAGCCAGAGTGTGGCCTGGAGCGGGGTCCAGATCAGAGACAACTTCCAGGAGCTGCGTGAGCCGGGAGTGAGGAGCCTCTCCCTGGGGGCCAGGGCGCAGGAACGCTCAGGCCCAGGAGGCTCCAGGCAGCTCCATACAAATCTACAGCAGTCAGAGAGCGCCGGCGCCTGGCCTCCCTGCACACACACGGACCGCTCGGGACTTGCGTGGAGGCCCTCGCGGTGTCGGAGGAAGGCGGGCGGCCGTGCTCGCCCCTGCTGCAGTGTGGGTTCCTGGGATGTGTTCTCTGCAGGGGGCACTGTGGGAAGGGGCTGCTCCCTGCCCTGGGGAGTGCTGACAGCAGAAGTAAAGACGTGAGGGATAAACACGGCCCCAGCTGTTTAGTTCTTCTTGGTTTTCGTGTATTCACGTGACTCCTGCAGCGAGGGTCGACCACGCGCTGTGCTCATAAGCAGCCCTTCCAGTCCGAGGTGCTCAAAATGCAGCCCCGGGGTGAGCACGTGGGGACCCAGGAGGCCAGGGCCGTGGGTGGGCAGTGACCCGGCTTTGATGTGCAGCGTCTGCCAGTTCCCGTGGTGCAAACACTCGCAGCACAGCCGATTCCGAGCCCCAGGCCACAAGCTGCTGTGAGCAAATGTTAAAATGTTACAAAGTAAAACAAAACAAAACAAAACAAAAGGTAAAATATGTCCAGGAAGTAAAAATTGTGTTGTTGAAAAATGCTCTGTCTCAGTGCTAACTTTCCTTTGTGCACCGAGAATCTATTTCCAACAGGTCCCCAGCTACCGGCCACAGCTTCGCTCCACCCCAGGGAGGTCAGTGGTGGTGCCAGGAAGCTGCGATTCCCTCATTTACAAATGAGAAAATTGAGGCCTGGAGAGGTGGACAGGCTGCCGAGGCCACATGTGCAGTGAGAAGCAGAACAGACCCAGACGCAGACCTGTGCTGCTGAAGGCCCCTGCCTCTCTCTGCCCCTGACTGCTGCTCTGGCAAGGCTGAGTGGGGGCTGGGGGCCTGGAGACGGCTCACTCCCCGCAGAAGCCACTGCCTGCTGTCCCGGGGCCGGGCCTGGGGATGGCCGGGCAATACCAAGTGGCCAGGAGCAGCCCGTTCTTCCTCCCTGCCTTGGCCTCAGGGCCCTGGGCTCCTGCCAGCCTCCCTCTCCCCGCACTCGGCTTCCTTCCTTGGTTCCCCAGGGCTTGCAGAACATTCAGGCAGGTCGGGGCAGAGCCCACGGGGTTGGTGTGCGCCCCAGGAGCCCCACCCAGGCCTTCTCCACTCCTTGTTTGCTTTTGAAGGGCACCAGAGTGTACGCTGCACTTACGGGAGGACTGCTGATTATTTTCTTAATGGAAGAGCAAATATTTACGTCTTAGGATCTAAAGGGCAGTGTGGAGTGTGTGGGATATTGACTCTCAACTGGGAGTGGGCAGGGAAACAAACCCTTGTCTGCCTTTGGCCTTGCTCAGCCAAAATGAGCAGAGATGTCTCTCTCGGTCTAGCGGCCACCTGACCTCCATTTACCTGCCCAGAGAGAAGGAGGGCCGAGGCGGCTGTGCCATCGACCACTCCTCAGCTTGGAGTGACCAAACAACCCTCCGTCAACCCCCTCCTGGCCACCACTTTCCCACGGGATGCGATGGGGCTCGGGGTGCTCCCGCCTCTCTGGCCTTTGCCGTGCCTGAGGGTGGAAACTCTTGCTAGCTGGTCCCCTTGCAGCTCTGTCCACATGTACTGGTGGCAGCCACCAGCCCGGCCATGTTGGGGGCATGACAGTCAGCCTGCTGTGCATCGGCAAATGCAGCTTGGGCCACTGGGTTAGGTTATTAAAGCCACATCCACACCCCTGCTTAGAGAAGTGCAGTGGGAAGCAGGGTAGGGGCTGCAGGGGAGCCCACAGGGAGAAGGAGCCTCCTAGGGCAGGGGTGACTAAACAACCCTCCGGGCAGCACCCGATTCCTGGGCAGGCAGTCAAGCTGCAGCCAGAGCCCCTGGGTTCACCCAGGCCCAAGGCTTGTCTTTGGGGTTGCTACACCAGCCCCGCCCAGAATCGCCGGCCCAGCCTGCTGTGGGAGCACTTGGGGTGTCTAGGGAGCAGGCTGGCCCCAATCCAAGCAGGAGATGCAGTTCAGGGGTCGTCCCGGGGGTGAGGGGTCCTGCCGAGATGCACCCGCCTGTCTGCCGGTCGCTTGGCTTCCTAACCCTATGACAATCCTGCTGCATGCTTCTGGAAGTTTCCATCAGCAATGCCAGGAGCTCTGGGTCAGCACCTCAGCGATCTACATGGAAAAGGGCACTTGTTCTGTGGGTAACTTGAGTGTCCATGGCCCCAATTTAGAGGCAGGGTTGTCCCTGGAGCCGTTGGTGGCCCTGGGTTGCTGGGGACAGAGGGTAGCATGGTGCAGCAGCATCCACGCCCAGGGCAAAGCCAGGACAAGACCTCATAGGCCAGAAGAGAAGGAGGGCGGTGGCTCCCTGCTGGGCTGCCAGACGGAAGGTAAACAGCCGGGGGTGGGGGGTGCTGGTGGCTCCTGTCTCCAGGCAAGAATGCACAAGCCAGGAAGGTGCGTCTCCAGGGTTTTGCCCTCTGAGGGCCACCCACACAGGTGGCCTCTGCAGTGGCTGAGAGGTCACAGGCTGCTGTGTTCCCCGTCCTTACCCAGCTCTGACCGCCCGGTGAACTTGGGCTGTGCACACAGAGGGGTTTCTCTGCAGGGTAGTGTCATGTCTGTCTGCCTCACATATCAGAAAAAGGTGGCTGGAGCCAGTTCTCGCCCCAGGCTGCCTGTCAAGGGCAAAGGTGCCCTGGAGGGGCCTCAAGTCATTGACCTCAGCTCCAGTCTGGTCCTGCCCACCTGGATCACCCTGACCCTGGGCAGTGGCCTCCTTGTCAGCCCCCAGGTGGCTGTCCTCAGCCCCGGACACCCTGCTCTTCCATGCCCATGGAGTGCAGGACAGAGGGACTCAGTCCCAACTGCACAGTGTGAGTGGGTCCTGGAGGGGGACAGAAAAACAGTTAAAATCCTGAGACATGGTCTTGGCTCTTACCCATGTGCTTGTATGTGCATACCCGCATATGTGCTGTGTGCCCGTGTGTGCACATTTTGCATGCATGTGTGTTGTGTGCATGTAATATACATGTGTGAGTGCTTTGTGTGTGTGTGCATACGTATTGCATGCACAGGTGCTGTGTAAGTGTGCACGGGAATGTGTGAGCACATGTGTGTGAGCATGTGTACATGTGTGAGCACACGTGTATGCGTGTGTGCACGAGTGCATGTCTACACACGTGTGAGCACATGTGTACATGTGTATGTGCATGTGAGCGCATGTGAACCTGTGTGTGAGCACGTGTACATGTGTATGTACGTGCGTGTGTGTATGTGTGTGAGCACGTGTACGTGTGTGAGCCCATGTGTACACCTGTAAGTGTGAGCACATGTGTACATGGCTATGTTGCATGTGTTAACACGTGTGTGTGAGCACATGTGAACATGTGTATGTGGGTGTGAGCGTGTGTACACGTGCATGTGCGTGTGTGTGAGCACGTGTGCATGTGCACACATATGTGTAAGCACATGTGTATGTGCGTGTAAGTGCATGTGCATGTGCGTGTATGAGCACGTGTGCATGTGTGCGTGAGTGCATGTATATGTGCATGTGTATAAGCACGTGCATGTGCTTATGTGATTGCACGTACATGTGTACACTCGTGTGTGAGTGTGTGTGTGTGTGGGCGCATGTGTGCATGTGTATATGCGTGTGTGAGTGCATGTGTATATGCATGTGTGTGTGAATGTATATTTAAGGATGCACAGGTTGCTCCGGTAGGCTGGCCGCCTGTGTCTGTGGAGCAGTGGGTGGCACTCTCCAGGGCAGTTGAGGTCTCCATGGTGGCTCCCATCCGATGGGGCCTAAAGGGCCCCCAGGCCTCCCCAAGTGGCTCTCAGAAGGCTCATTCCTTGGAGGAGCCTTCCGTGTGCCTGTGTGGCCATGTGCTGCCCCAGCAAGGATCTTCTGAAAGGTGAGGCAGCCCCTGGAAGTCAGGGCTGCAGCTCCCACTGGCTGCTGTTAAGAAGCCCAGGTGTAAGGGACCCAGAGGAAATAGGACACAGACCAGGTGCCACTCAGCCCCCCGCCCCCCGCAGAGGCCACCCTGCATGACACTCCCGGGGCACGCGGGAGTGCCTGCCTCACAACCTGTGGGCATCCTGGCCTGGATTCCTGCCGTGCTTCAGGTGTCACTTGAGCCAAACAGCCAGTGACCAGAGCCAAGTGGCCACCATGCCCTGGGGAACAGGGAGACTAGCAGGGTCTGGTCTGGCAGGCAGGATCTGTGGCTTCATGACACCACCGTCTCCACCAGGAGCTTCAAGGTATCTGCCTCTCCCGGACCTCCGGGGAGCCCCATGCTGGCTGTCCCTGATGAGCAGCTGATGACCTCGAATGCCAGGCCCCATGCCAGAACCCCACCTTCCCCACCCGGCGGCCTAGGACTGCCAGCTGGGGTGGCGCAGCTGCTCTGGGGGCTGTAAGCTTTTGATTTGCGTCAGCACCGAGCTGCCCAGGAGGGGCTCACACTGGGTGCTCAGCAGCCACTCTGAATCACAGCGACATCACAGCTGTGGGAGCCCAGAGAGGGTCCTGGGGAGATGGGGTGGCCGCACTCAGTCTAGTGCTGAGCCCACATCCCTGTCTCCCCAGGAGCTGGGTTTTTAAAAGCAGTTTCCATGATACAAACACCAGGTCTGGCCCCCGAGAGGAGGCAGTGGAAGCTGGAATTGTCTCTCCCAGGAAGGGCTGCCCTGACGGCCCCCAGCAGCAGTGGGCGGGCCACCCTAATTGAGGGGCGTGGCGGGAGCTCTGACCGTGGCTGGAAACCTGCAATTTCACTCAGATGAAAGGGTCCTCAAAGGATTCTCCCGAGAAACGCAGCTGCCAGGATGGCCTTGAAGAATGCCCCTTTGTGTGGTCTCTATAGGGCGCTCCGGGGAGCCCCAGGCGTGAGTCCAGCACTTCCTTGGGAAAGAGCTGGGTTTGGGCCCAGCTATGTGACCCCACGTGTGTCCCCTGCCGGCTTCCCTTCAATACTGACCCCTCCCACCCAGGAACAGAAGAAGATGTGAGTCATCTCTGATATCCCACGCTTTATCCTTGCAAAGTCCTCCAAAGAAGGCAGCTCCCCACCCCGCCAACCTATCCTGAGTCGGTCAGCAGCCCAGGCACAATCCGGCTGCCCCCGCCAGCAGGCTGCCCCCAGCCCTTGGTGGCAACTGCCCCCAACCTGACCTGCCTCCCTCTGCTCACCTCTGCAGGTGTCCTCTGCTCTTCGGCTCACACACCCCACCTCAGCTGCTTTCTAAGCTTCAAGACGGCTCCTCTTCTCCGGCTGGAGAGTAGAGGCCAGGGCCACAGCTCCCGTCTGGGGAGGGGCCTCTGCTGGTCATCAGGGCTGGCTGTAAACACTGAGGACAGATTCACTTGTGTTTAAAGACCCTGGGTAGAGCGTCCTGGAAACGTGAATCCTGTTCCCAGTCACACAGAGAGCTGGGGGTCCCCGAGGCTCCTGCTGGGGTCTGCCCAGTCTCAGGCCAGGTGGGATCAGCAGCTCCACTGACCTGTAGCCCACTTGGGGTGCAAGGTTGGGAGTCCTGCCTAGAGCCAGATGCCCAGCCTTGGTCATCTTTGGAGGACACCTCTCCTTCAGCAGGGCTCCCAGCCTGTCCCTGCTCCGCAGCTCCTGCAGCCCACCACCACCTGGTGATAGCCCAGGACGGAGGTGCCGCCCTGACCAAGGAGGCTGTCCTACCAGGTGCAGTCGTGTCCTCTCCCTAAGCCAGCCCAGCTCTTCACAGACCCTGTTCCAGGTGGAGAATTCCAGGCTCGGAGAGGCTGCGGCCACTCCTGGTTGCACACTTATGGGGACAGAAGTGAGATTCTCAAGGGGCTCCTCCCTCAGTCCATGCCTTCCCGGCCCTGCTGTAAACGATGTCCACACACTCAGCAGCTGGAGCACACAGATTGAGTCTCAGGGTTCTGGAGGTCCATGTCCTGACCCAGCTCTCCATGATGGAGATGAGGGTGTGGGCCGGGCAGCCTTCCTCCTGCAGGCTCAGGGAGAAGCCACTTCCCTGCCTTTTCTGGCTTCCCAAAGCCACCGCATTCCCTGGCTCATAGCCTCTTCCTTCTCCAAGCCAGCCATGGGGAACAGGGCCCCGTGTTGCATCTGACGCTGGGTCTCCTCCCTTCCCACCCGCTGTGCTTACACCAGGCCTGCTGGGGAATCTGGGTGACCTCTCCTCTGCCAACCCGGGGCGGGGGGGTCCTGCCCTAGCTCTCCTCTGCTATATAGGGTGAGACACTTTTGCAGCTCCCAGGATTAGGGCGTGGTCATCTTTGGCGCCACTATGCTGTCGGTCATACTGGGCAGACCTCTGGGGACACAAGCATGTGTCCATCCTTATCAAAGCCCCAAGGCAGCTTCTCAGCAGCTCCTCTCCGACGCACTTTTCACTCTGCCTGCTTTGTCCTGCACCTGGCCTGGGGCTTGGGAGGAGGGTGGTCAGGGGTGAAAACTGCCCATGTGCCCCCATGGGCAGGTCCCACAGGGGTGGGCAGGCCTTCGCCTGGCGTCCTCCCTCCTGGTAAATGGGCTTTCGTGCCGGCGGCAGGGTCCCTCCCCTGATCTGTGAGGGCCAGAACCAGGCCCAGAATCCAGCCCCTATCCGCCTGGGTGGCTTTAGTCACCCTGATGGCTGTGTGGTGAGCTGTCACCAGCATTGATACCATGAGGCGCTGATGGGCAGAGCCGCAGGCTGGAGACCCCTCACTATTCCTGGAGCGCCACCCTTGCGGGCAGAGGCTGTGGGAGGTGGCACTGCCAGTCAGCGCTGTGTCGATCGGGCAGTAGGGGAAGATGCATGGGGATTATTTACAGAAAAACATGAGATTCCAAAGGAACGGTGGCTTTGTCAGGGGCACCTGGGATGCCTCCCAGGTCTCCGGGGTAGTTCACAGTCCCAAGATGAGAGTGTGCTCCAGAAAAGGGTAGCCTGCCCCTAGATGGCTCTCACGGCTGTGGCCAGCAGGGGCTGGGGGTGGCAGCTGCCAGTGTCACTATGGAGAAGAGCAGGAGAGAAAGAGGAAGGAGGCTGCGGGAGGCAGCTGCAGCGGCCACAGGGAGGAAGAGTGACTGAGGACGCTGTCGTGTCAGGAGTCCAGACCTGGGAGGAAACGGGGTCACACAGACCCTCGAAGGAGCTGGGGCCCCAAGGAGGGAAAGTGGAGTCTCCGCCCCAGTTGGGCTCCACGCCGGAAACTCACGCTTCCTTTCCAGCCACACCTGTGCACGGTTTCCTCCTGCCTGGGATGGTGCCCCCTACCCAGAGCCTGTGGCTGCTGCTGGGATTCAGCCGGGCACCCTTTAGGCTCAGGAGTGGTGGTGGCACTCTCCGGAAGGAGCTGGTACAGAACTGACAAACTCCTGCCCGCCTGCTCCTGCAGACCCTCTTGGGGGCAGCCACCCACTCTGGGCTCCCGTCCTGGAGTCAAGGGAACAGGAGAGGCCAGCCCAGGGCACAGTGAGGCACCTCTTTGCCCCGTGCCCTGGGAGTTGCTTTCTTTGGAGGTCGTGACCGATGGACAGCAGGGGCTGGCACTGCTCATGCCCATCCCATCAGAGGCTTCAGAGCTGGGAAGCCAGGGAGCTGCTTTGGTGAAAACAGAATGGGGTGAGAGCAGGGAGAGGACAAGGATGGGAGTCAGGAGGGGATGGGGTGGGGGAGGCTGGTGATCCTAGGAGAGAGGAGCCAACCTGGAAGTTCCCCCTTGCCCTGGCATGGCATGGCATGGCATGGTGGGTCCCCGTGGCCAGGGCTTTCTTGCCCTCTCTCCAAAGCTCTTGGACACCAGAATTCAGCCAGACCGTCACAGCCTGGGGCAGTCAGGACAGGCTCTGGGGCCTGTAGCAGGTCACCCCTCCAGCATAGCAGCTGGCCCATCTGATCCCTGGATCTTTCCTGCCTTCTCACCACCCTGGGTTCTGGAGCTTGCCTGGGCCCCGTCTGCCTGAGCCTGGCGCCCCTGCAGAGCCCCGGGACAGGCCCGGCCCTGAGCTCTGCCTGGACACCGCGGGCAGGGGTGACGGACGCCAGACACTTTGCTGTGGTGCTGGCCTGATTCCCTGGCCGTGTGTGCCATCCTGGCACACTGCAAGACAGGCACCTCTCCGAGTCTGGGCAGGAAACAGATGGCCCACTCAACGGGGGCGTTTGAAGAGATTTGTTCATGAAAAGAGCATTTTCAGAGGTGTTGGCAGGTTGAGGGAAAACACCAAGGGGCCTGTGGTAGTGGGCCACCCCGGGAACAGAAAAGTGAAGGAGGGAAAGCTGTTGCCAGAGCGGGGGTCAGAGCCCTGGGTGGGGCCACCTGGCAGAAGGGTGTGCTCGGGGAGGGACGTGGCCGGAAGACAGCAGAGCAGGGACAGTGGAAGAGGGACAAGGCCCCTGCTGGCCTGTCTGTCCTTCCTGAATCTCATGTCCTGCCACCATCTTCCATTGGCTGAAGCCCCAAACAGAAGCCCAAAAGTGGGAGAAGTCGCCTGCCTAGTGGGCAGCTTTCTGAAGTTTAGTACTGGTGGCACAAAGAGGGATGGAGAGAGGACAGGGGACAACCAGGAATATCCAGTCCTTACCCCTGAAAGTCATAGCTAGGTGGTGGTAGTGAGAGTGATGGCGATGGTGGTGACAGTGGTCATGATGATGGTGGTGATGGTGATGGGGACGATGTTGGTGTTGGTGGTGGTGATGGTGATGGTGGTGATGGTGGTGGTGATGGTGTTGATGGTGGTGGTGGTGGTGATGATGGTTGTGGTGGTGGTGGTAATGATGGTGATGGTAATGGTGGTGATGGTGGTGGTGATGGGGATGATGGTGGTGGTGGTGGTGGTGGTGGTGGTGATGGGGATGATGGTGGTGGTGGTGATGGTGATGATGGTGGTGGTGATGGTGATGATGGTGGTGGTGATGGTGGTGGTGGTGGTGATGGTGGTGGTGGTGGTGATGGTGATGATGGTGGTGGTGATGGTGATGATGGTGGTGGTGATGGTGGTGGTGGTGGTGGTGATGGTGGTGGTGGTGATGGTGGTGGTGGTGATGATGGTTGTGGTGATGGTGATGGTGGTGGTGATGGGGATGATGGTGGTGATGATGGTGGTGGTGATGGGGATGATGTTGGTGTTGGTGGTGGTGATGGTGATGGTGGTGTTGGTGGTGATGATGGTGTTGGTGGTGATGGTGATGGTGGTGGTGGTGATGGTGATGATGGTTGTGGTGATGGTGGTGGTGATGGTGGTGATGATGGTGGTGGTGATGGGGATGATGTTGGTGTTGGTGGTGGTGATGGTGATGGTGGTGTTGGTGGTGATGGTGATGGTGGTGGTGGTGATGGTGGTGATGATGGTGGGTGATGATGGTTGTGGTGATGGTGGTGGTGATGATGGTGGTGGTGATGGTGGTGATGGTGGTGGTGATGGTGATGGTGGTGGTGGTGATGGTGGTGGTGATGGTGGTGGTGGTGATGGTGGTGGTGGTGGTGGTGGTGGTGGTGATGGTGGTGGTGATGGTGGTGGTTGTGGTGGTGGCGGTGATGGTGGTGGTGGTGGTGGTGATGGTGGTGGTGGTGGTGGTGATGGTGGTAATGGTGATGATGGTGGTGATGGTGGTGATGGTGGTGATGGTGGTGGTGATGGGGATGATGTTGGTGTTGGTGGTGGTGATGGTGGTGGTGATGGGGATGATGTTGGTGTTGGTGGTGGTGATGGTGGTGGTGATGGTGATGATGGTGATGGTGGTGGTGATGGTGGTGGTGATGGTGGTGGTGATGATGGTGATGGGGATGATGTTGGTGTTGGTGTTGGTGGTGGTGATGGTGGTGGTGGTGGTGGTGATGGGGATGATGTTGGTGTTGGTAGTGGTGATGGTGGTGGTGATGGGGACGATGTTGGTGTTGGTGGTGGTGATGGTGGTGGTGGCCATGGTTGTGCTGGTAATGTTCCCAGCACTGGAAATAAAGCTGGCCATTTTCTAGAGAAAGCTCGTGGCATTTGCTATCTGCTTTCTGACCATCTTCAGAAATCATCATTGTGCTCCCCACTCCCATCCTGATGGGGCTGCCTGCATGATCAGGGGCACACTCGACCCCAGAAAGTCAGCACTGGCCAGGACAAGTCCTCACAGCCCTCACCACGCCCACACTCTTGTCACTGTACCCTTGTCTTTCCCCGAACTGTTCACCACAACCCTGTGGCCAGCTCTGTGCCCACTGCTGACCTGTTGGCCTCTGGGTTTCTTGCTTGCCAAGGTCCTGACAAGCATTCACAGGAAGTTGTCTCTGGGGGGGGAGCTGCCCTCCCAGACCCTCCTGCCCTCTCCCACCTGAGCTGCAGTTCACCTAAGGGCCTTCACTTCCTCTTCTGGCTCCTCAGCCCCTCGCAGGCCTCCCTCCCCATCCTTCGGAGGTGCCACCTGCTCTAAGGACTAGCTTCTATTCCCACAGTCAGGAGGTGGAAGGTGTGAGTCTGTCATGACACACCTGGTGTCCCCAGAGGGACGTGCCAGATGCTGACGGAGCACTCACGACTGTCCAGCCTGTACACGTGCACTGGCTGCTCCCTGCCTCTGAGGACTGCAGCCCCGGAGGACTCTGTGTGAGGTCACTAGATCCCGCTTGACACCAGATGTAAGTACACACACACAAATATACATGTTCGTGTGCTGCGCACTCCACAGACACACACATCCACACGTGCACAAACACAGCCTCATGCAACTACACACACCTCCCGAAGCTGGGGATGGGAGCCTTCTCATCTGATTTCTTCCTGATTTCAGGACCTGGGCCACAGAAGCAGCCTCACCTTCAGACCAGGGTTCCTGGGGGGTGGCAGCGCTCTGTTGACGGCAGACTCATACCTGACCAATGTGTCTCCAGCCTCAGGGCTGCTTTGAATCCTTGGGAGGACTCAAACTCAGCCCAGAGTCCTGAGGACATTTCCCTACAGGGTGGGGACAGCATGGGGAGGCGCCAGATAAATATTTGCGAGCCTTTCCCTGGGTCTCAGAAATTAAAAGAGATTTGTCACTGCAGTGAGGATGCTCCGTGGCTCCTGGGTGTCTCTGCAGCTCAGCTGGCTCCTGGCCTCCGGACTGTGAGCCCAAGTGCTTCCTTCACATAGACACCCAGTCAATGTCTCAGAAGAGACCCGTCCTGCCCTGAGTGCACAGCTGCTCCTGCCTCCCATCCCCGACACAGCCATCCCCCTCCTGGGTGGTGACAGATCCATCCTTCCAGTTGCTCAGAGTGAGTCGCGTTCTCCTGGTTTCCAGGAACCCCATGAGCTCTGTCATCGGAATGCATCCGGAATCTGCCCACGTCCCTGCCTCGCTGGCCTGGATGATGGCTCCACACTCCCACGGGTTCCCATCCGCCCCCGCCACCGTCTGTGCTCCACGCAGCAGTCTAGAGAGTGCCACACCGCTCAGCGCACAGCCTCCAGGGGCTGCCTCCTGAGCAAGTGCCCCCAACAGCCGGTGGCACTGTGGTCCCTGGCTCCTGGCTGCCCTGTCAAAGCTCTCAAGCCCTCACGCATACATATACTACAAGACGTGCTTCTTCATTCCCCCTTTGCTCCCCCGCAAGGCCATCCACCCGTGCAGGTACGGGCTTTGTCTGTTCTGCTCACTGGTGAGGAGGACGACGACGAGGCGGAGGATGACGCAGTGCCCAGCCCCAGCTGGCCCAGAGGAGGTGCTTAGTAAATATTTGTTGAGAGAATGAATGCATGGAATGCGTTTCTATTTCCAGCCCCAGCCATGCTCCTGGAAGCACAGAAACAGGAGCAGATTTGCAAAGGAGGAGAAAGTCCAGACGTGGGGGGCTCAAGGTGGGCCTGGGCTGCTGGAGGTGCTAAGAAACGGTTTCCTTCCTCCTCAGAGCTCTCTGCAGCCTGCGACATGCCAGGTTTCCCAAGCAACTCATCTGGTTGGGTTAAGAGGGGCCACAGGGGATCTGGGGTGGGAAAGGGAAGGCTGAGGCCCCAGTCTGTCCCAGCAGCTGCTCTGGTTCCAAATGCCTGGAAGCCCGGACTCGTTCCCCCACAGCCAAGGCAGGCTGCAGAGAGCTGACCCCGTTAAGCTGGTCCTGGCATTTCCCCAGAGCCACGGGCTCTGCCGCGGCTGCCCCCACAGCATGCCCCTCCCTCACACAAGCCAGCCCAGCCTGGTCCCTCACAGTCACACGCCCCTTTCAGAGGCCACTCCACAAGTCACAAGGCAGAGTTTCCATTGGCGTCAAATGTACGTGGATGCTGGATCTGGGATGGACAGGAGCCAAGAGGGGAGAAGGCAGTTTTAGAAAATTCACATGCCTGGGGTCACAGAGGGCAGACCCCCATGGGCACCGCATCCCCGTGGCAGGGGTGGGAATGACTCTTGGGCATAGACCTAGTATGTGTGCGAACTCTCCCACTGTCCATCACTCTCACACATGCATGTACACAAGCAAACATGCACACACACACACAAACACACACACACACACACACACACCATGTCTGTGTCTACAGTGGAGACCAAACAACCCTCCCCAGGGAGGTGAGACCTCCCACGGAGTTGGCGGAGACAGGAGTCCGTGATTCTTGGGTCTGAAGTGCCTGGGTGTGCACCCCACACAGCGTGGTGTACAAGATGCCTGCTGTGCCGCTAGGCCCACGTGCTGCGCGGGGCCTCCAGGCATGAGGGACAGAAGATGCCCGGGTGCAAAACATGAGGGCCCAGGTCAGTGCATCTACAGGAAGCAAGCCCGCAGCTCTGAGTGACGTCGGCGCATTTACGGGCAGCAAGGGTACTGTTCTGAGTGACGCCGGGGCATCTACGGGCAGCAAGGGTACTGTTCTGAGTGACGCCGGGGCATCTACAGGCAGCAAGGGTACTGTTCTGAGTGACGCCGGGGCATCTACAGGCAGCAAGGGTACTGTTCTGAGTGACGCCGGGGCATCTACGGGCAGCAAGGGTACTGTTCTGAGTGACGTCGGCGCATCTAAGGCACTGTCGGACCCTGGTGATCTTCACCTTCCCTGTTTCCTCTTCTCTTCCACACGAAACTGTTTTCTTTAAGAAAAGCCACTTGCCAACTCTTATGAGGGTCATGGATTTTGTTGTCTGTGTCTCTAGGGCTGCCACCAACCCTGGGGTGATCACAGGACCCCAAGGCTAGCCGGCAAGGGGACCGAATTCCTCCACCACAAGTAGCAGGACAGGGCTGGACATGGAGCCCAAGACCACACAATCAGAGCCCTGCCCGGGATGTCGCTGGCACAGTGAAGACAGAAGCGCCCTGACCCTCCAGGTTGGGAGCTCTGAGGACCCCTGAGCTTAAGGCTCCCGGGCCGTCTTTGCCAACACAGACAGCATCGAGCTTAGAGTGTGAATGAGATGATGCCCAGTGAGAGCCTCTGAATTCCTGGACCCAGCTACACCTGAAGCCACCCACTGTACCCCACATTTTCTAGGTAGGTCAAGCTGCAAATGCCCCTCTTTTCTGAAATGAGCTTGGGTTGGGATTCTGTCACTTACAACTGGAAGGAACCCAGCCACGCAATTCTATACCGAAGTAGAATGCTCTAGACTTTACGAGGGGCAAACCGAGGTGGAGCAGGAAGATGGAGGCTTTCTGCCTCCTAAAAGGTGGAAGAGGGGAGTCTCTGGGGTGGCTGAATACATATACAGACTCACTTGACCCTTGGTTATTCTCTAAAACAGCCACAGAGGTGGGGCTCCGACCCATCTAAGCCCCTTCCTGACCTGGGCCACCTGGGGCAGGTCTGTTTATGGCATCTGGGTCCCCCCGAGCCTGAATGTCCCACCTCCGCACAGGATCGGGCTCCTGGGAAAGGAGAAGCCGATTCTCTTTCTTCCATCTGTGGTGGTCACCCCATCCCAGCACAGGGCGCCGCAGATGACATGTTCTGTTGATGCTGTGGCTGTCGGGCTGGGGATTCGAGCCCCCAGGCCGCGCTCCATGCACTCCAAGGACTGGCCTGGCAGGGCTGTTGCTGGCTCCCAGTGGCTGCTGGGCTCTGGAAGGAAAGGCCTTCTGCAGAGCAGGAAGCTGAAGCCGGCCACCTGGCCAGCCTGTGGGAGGGAGGCAGCTGTGGGAAACCCTTTCCTCCTCTGGTGCCCTCCCAATGTCCAGGGTCTTTTTACCTGGCATTTCTTTGCTGCTGTGGCTGTGCCTGGACCCCGAGCTCATAGAAAAGGCTGTAGCCTCCAGCCCTGCTGAAATGGCCTGGTGCTTTCTACAGAATCTCTGCAAGGAGCTGTTATAGAAGAGACATTAATTATGGAAACTAAGGACCACGCAAAAACACTTATTTCTAAACGACGGGTGCCCAGTCCCGAGAATTCCAGTGGAAGTGGTGGTGATCACCGGGACTGGGGCCTCACCTGGGGGTCTGGCCGGTCTCCCTTCTGCTCTGGATCCCTCACCTGGGGCCACCTGCCTTGACGGACATCTGGGATGGAGGAAGCCAAGGGTCAGGCTGGACCCTTCATCAGCAGACACAGACACGATGCCTGGCACCCCTGCTGAGAGTGGTATGTGGTCCCCTCCAGTGATCGCTGCAGTGTCTCTGAGATATCACCATCCCTGTTTCCCAGATGGGAAAACCGAGGCTCCGAACAGCTAAGAAATGTGCCCAAGTGTCTGAGCGTGCTGGCAGCAGACTGGAGCTCAGGCCTGGGTCTCTGTGGCCTTCATAGTCAGTGGGGAGTGGGTGTGAGGGGAACCCAGGTGACACTGGCCTGGCAGGACAGAGAACGGCAGGTGCACAGGATTCCACACCAGGGGCAGTCCCTGCAGCGGCTGCATTCCCACCACACTCTGCCATGCCTGGGTGCATCTGGGCGGCTTTGCTGCGTTCCTCTGCCACTCTTCAGGGGCTCAGGAGTGCATGCTGGGAGGGCCCAGGCCAGCCCAGGGTCTAGACCATTCTAGCCTGAAATGTTTGGATCAGTGAGTGAGGCCAGAAGGACTTGGAGTGAGCTGGAGCGATGGGGGTCACTGCAGAAGGGAGCACAGAGACCCCTGAGCCCAGAGAGGCAGCTCCTCTCCCACAGCAGGAATGCAGGCCTGAGGGCTGAGCTCTCCCAGACTGGGGAACCTGTGCAAGCTGAGCTGCCTGCCTCCTGGGGCAAAGCTGGGGATGCCTTCAGGGCCTGCTGGAAGATCTTGTGGTCTAGGCCAGTGGACTTGCCAGCTGCCTCCAAGTCCAGAGTCTGTTTTGTTTGCTTGCTCGTTTATTTGTTACAGATGTGTCTCTGAGCTGGAATGCAGTGGTGTGATCATGGCTCACTGTGCTCTGAAATTCCTGAGCTGGAATGCAGTGGTGTGATCATGGCTCACTGTGCTCTGGAATTCCCAAGCCGGAATGCAGTGGTGTGATCATGGCTCACTGTGCTCTGAAATTCCTGAGCTGGAATGCAGTGATGCGATCATGGCTCACTGTGCTCTGGAATTCCCGAGCCGGAATGCAGTGGTGTGATCATGGCTCACTGTGCTCTGAAATTCCTGAGGTGGAATGCAGTGGTGCGATCATGGCTCACTGTGCTCTGAAATTCCTGAGCTGGAATGCAGTGGTGCGATCATGGCTCACTGTGCTCTGAAATTCCCGAGCTGGAATGCAGTGGTGCGATCATGGCTCACTGTGCTCTGAAATTCCTGAGGTGGAATGCAGTGGTGTGATCATGGCTCACTGTGCTATGGAATTCCTGAGCCGGAATGCAGTGGTGCGATCATGGCTCACTGTGCTATGGAATTCCCGAGCTGGAATGCAGTGATGTGATCATGGCTCACTGTGCTCTGGAATTCCCGAGCCGGAATGCAGTGGTGCGATCATAGCTCACTGTGCTATGGAATTCCCAAGCTGGAATGCAGTGGTGTGATCATGGCTCACTGTGCTATGGAATTCCCAAGCTGGAATGCAGTGGTGTGATCATGGCTCACTGTGCTATGGAATTCCCAAGCTGGAATGCAGTGGTGTGATCATGGCTCACTGTGCTATGGAATTCCCAAGCCGGAATGCAGTGGTGTGATCATGGCTCACTGTGCTATGGAATTCCCGAGCCGGAATGCAGTGGTGTGATCATGGCTCACTGTGCTATGGAATTCCCGAGCTGGAATGCAGTGGTGTGATCATGGCTCACTGTGCTCTGGAATTCCCGAGCTGGAATGCAGTGGTGTGATCATGGCTCACTGTGCTCTGAAATTCCCGAGCTGGAATGCAGTGGTGTGATCATGGCTCACTGTGCTCTGAAATTCCTGAGCTGGAATGCAGTGGTGTGATCATGGCTCACTGTGCTCTGAAATTCCCGAGCTGGAATGCAGTGGTGCGATCATGGCTCACTGTGCTCTGGAATTCCTGAGGTGGAATGCAGTGGTGTGATTATGGCTCACTGCGCTCTGGAATTCCTGGGCTCATGTGATTTTCCCTCCACAGCCTCCTGAGTAGCTGGGACCACAGGCACCATCACACCTAGCTAATTTTTAAAATTTCTTGTAGAGATGGAGTTTTGCTATATTGCCCAGGCCTATCTCAAACAGCTTCCCAAAGTGCTGGGATTACAGGTGGGAGACCCAACACCCAGCCCCAGGGCCTTGGTTTAAAGTCACCCTCTTGGTCCTGGGAAGAATGTGTTGACTTTGGTTTGTGATTGATTTCAGGAGTCTGGAGCGGGGTGTGGTGAGGGAAGTTCAAAGAGATTTGAGAAACTGTGAAACCCCAAATCCCCAACAACTTTCCTTCTTTCGTTGCAGCCACTCAGTGTTGGGCAAACCCCTCCCTGCAGCTGTCCTCGTCCATAGCGGAAAGAGCCTTGTGGCTACACTGCATGGCCTCCTGCCTCATGGCAGCCTCTCTGTTTATTTTTCCTCATCGTCTCCAGAGTCTCTGGTGAAAATTAACAGGTGCTCAACTTGCAAACTGGGAAGAAACATCTCCAGCCCTGGGGCTCTTTCCTGAGCCCCCCGCCAATCCTGGCGTGTGTGTGTTCAGCCTGTAACACGAATTGGGGCTTGTCCTGTGGTTTGAGGCTTCCTCGTGGCAACGGAGCGGGAGTGTTTCCGGGATGAACGTGCTTCATTTTGCCTCATGGTTCTGATGTCTGCAGAGGACACTGTCACAGGGACACATGGGGACAGCTGTGGCCAATCCCTGCTCCTAGACCTTCACACCCACCTCTCCTGGAATCACAGCTCCAGAGCAACACCCCAACCGTCATGTTGGGGCCCCAGTCCCTTTTGGCTTTGCCGAAGACGCAGCAGAGCCCACCCTGAAGGAAAGAGAGGCAGCAGAGAGGGCAGACTCCTCCTGCCTGGTCCTAACGGCAGGACTGGGGGCTTTCACAGGCTTGGTGCCACCCTAGAGACCTCCCCGTCTGGAGACTCTGAGGGTACATGGGATTTCCAAGGGGCCCCACCCACAGGCAGCAGCAGTGCCTGCATCAGGGAGATTTGCCTCTGGGCTCCCTGCACTGTCCCATGAGTGGTCTGAGGACCCAGACCCGGGGTTGGGATGGACACAGCAGCCGTTGTCTGTGGAGTGATGACACAGAAGAGGTTCCATCCAGCAGCACAGGCTGCCTACCCTGGGGAGACAGTCCTGTTGGTGACCTGTGTCTCCGCCTGAGTTGGAGAAGGCTTTCTACAGCAAAAGCAGACCCAGAGTGAGGGCGTCACTGATTTGGGAGGGAGCCGTGTGCCGAAGGTGACCAGCAGGCACTGCAGACCTGGCCTTTGAGATTGGAGCCCGTTCAGCCCACGGAGCCCCACGGAGCTTCCCAAAGCAGGCCCTGGACCTCCAGCTGCACCCTGGAGTGGGTGAGGGGGATTCACTGTGTGGCATGTGTCAGGTGGGGGGGCAGGCACAGGGTGGGGGGACGGAGCTGAGGGGAAGACCAGCAGATTCCTGGACACCCCGGGTGAGGCTGTCCCAGATGGGCAGGAATAAAAGCAAGAGAAATAAGATGAAAGGGCTCAAGATGACAGCCTGAGAGCAGCCAGGAAACTGTCCATGCCAAGTCCCTGGGCCTGCGGGACCCTGCGCTCCACCCACATGGGAGGTTTGGGTTTGTTGGGATGTGCTCTCTGGCAGGGCGGCTGCTGGAGCCTCTCTCTTCCAGCTCAGGCTTACACTGCACCAGAAAGGGAAGGGCAAAAGCACCCCTCAGTCCAGAGGACCCTCAGATCAAGAGACCACCCAGGCTGCAATCAACTCTGATGGCACTTTTAATCACCCCAGCAGGAATGGCAGCTGTAAAGAGACGTTAAATGAACCTTGCAGAAATGACTCGGAGAGCTGGCTGAGCGAGGGCCGCCTGGACACTAGTGCGCTGGCGCCATGTCCTCAGCACCCACAGGCTTGGCAGTCCTGTGAGCCCCAGCCGCTGGAACACTCGGGCCGCCTCTCCACTTGTCTGGTAGGGTATTTCCCCCCAGTGCCTTCATCACCCCACGCCCACCCTCTCCTCCCCCACCAGCTGCTCTGCTGAAGGGTGCATTCTCCCCAGGTCCGGCCATGAAGCCATCCTGGGTGCCTCGGTTTCCCCTGCTGGCCAGGCAATCCCCAGTGCCTCAATGGGAATGCCACTCACTGCCACCACCCGGCCTGGGCTCGATGGGACACCTGCACCCCACCAAGTTGCACTCCTCCAGCCCGTTCTCTGGACACCCGGATGAGAACAAGGCTACTGGCCAGGAGTGTTAGAGCAGGGAGCAGCCTCAGAGCCCACCCCATCTCTTCAAGCGTCCTGAAGCCACCAAGCAAAGTGCCACTGAAGGGGGGCTGAGGACAACAGAAATGTATTCTCTGTCGGTTCTGAGGCCAAAAGCTTGAGCTCAAGGCATCTGGAGAGCCAGCCCCGCCCCGGCAGCTCTAGAAGATAATCCACTTCTCACCTCTCCCAGCTTGGGGTGTTGCCGGCAGCCCTTGGCATTCCTGGCGTGTGGCTGCACCCCCGGGGTCACGAGGCCTTCTCCCCAGTCTTGCTGTATGTCCCCTCCTCTTGTAAGACTCCAGTCACTGGATTTAGGGCCTACACGAGTCTAGTGTGACCTCACCTGCACTGACCTCTGCAAAGGCCCTTCTTCCAAATAAGGTCATGTTGCCAATTCTGGGTGACTGTAAATTTAGGGGCCACTGTGTAACCCAGTGCCATCTGCCTACAGGCCCCAGGATGCCCAGGAATCCAGTCTCAACTGACATGCGTCTGGCTCTGTAGGATCAGAGCCTGGGCCATCTAAGCACTCACATTCTCTCCTGCAGCCCGGAGAAGAAAATACTACAGCCCCTCCTTCCCAGCCTGCCGGGTTCCCTCCAGCCTGGGCCAAGCCCCCTTCTCCAGGGCCTGATAAGACGCCATTTCCAGATATATCCACTGAGTGGCAAAAGCAGACAGCGGTACGCAGTGACCTGTCTTTCGTGTAATAAAACGTAAAAATATGTATATGTGTGTGTTTATTTATAGTTGCAAAAGAAAAGCACTGGAGGGATAAATCAGAAACTAATGGAAACGGCGACTTTCCGTGTGTGTGGAGTCAGAAGTGGGAGCTCGCTGCTCTGCTGGTCCGACTCCAGAAGCACGAGAATGTTTTCAAAACAAGAAACTTTAAAAGAAGGCATCTTCGGAAAAGGAAACCAACAAAATGTAAATGTATATAACATTTGGAATAGAACTAAACAAAGACAAGATTATTTCCAGTGACTTTAGAGCACAGTATTCAGGATTCTTTTTCCTGGTGGCATATTTTGAGGATAAAAGAACGGCGAGGAAATCACGTACATCGCTCAGTAGGTCTTAGTGTTAAGTCACATTGTTATTTAAACTTTTTTCCCTTCCAGGATAAAGCCAGTGAGTGATTATGTGAATGTCGTGAAGAAGCGTAGTTATTATTACTGATAGAGAAAAGATATGCAAATATAGAAGCCAATAGGTTAGGAGTAGCACTGTAATCTCATGGTTGAATTGGAAATGCTAATTTAATCTCATACTCATTTATTCATTCTGATTGATTGATTGTCACCCAGGCTGGTGTGCAGTGGCACAGTCTTGGCTCACTGCAGCCTCAACCTCCCAGGCTCAAGCCAGCCTGAGCTTCAGTGTCTTGAGTATATGGGACCACAAGTACACCACCCCAGGTGGCTCATTCTTGCATTTTTTGTAAAGACATTTCACCATGTTGTCCAGGCTGGTCTCAAAACTCCTGAGCTCTGGCAATCCACCTGCCTCAGTCTCCCAAAGTGCTGGGACTCCAGGGGTGAGCCAGTGAGCCCAGCCGATTTCGTGGAAGTGCTGGCATAACAGGCGTGAGCCGTCGTGCCTGGCCAATCTCATGTTGTGAAAACTGAATATGCCTCTCCTAGTTCTTGCCATTGGGAGGGACGGGAAGCAGTGACCACTTGGCACCAGTGAGCACCAGAGGTGATGAGCCTGATACTCATCCTCGGCCGGAAAGCAGGGAAGGCATCAAATACCAACAAGGTCAACCAAAGGTGCAGGTCCTCTCGCTGGCCGGGGCATCTCGAGCAATGGATCGAAATGATACATAAAACCCCACTCATTCCTAATGCTACTGAAAAAGAAAGGTTTAAAAAAACTGACGTTGCTTGTTGCCATTGGAGTTAATTTTTGTAGCAACTCCTTACTCTGAAAATTGATAACTAAGAAGAAAAGGGGAAATAATTATGCAGTAAATACATAGGGGTTACTAAATAGCAGGGGAAGGGAGAGCTCTTCTTACGAAAGAATTCCGGCTAAAGAATCCAGCAGGAGTGTGGGGATGTGAGAACAGCAGCGTTCTGCACCCCCTCGTGACAAACATCACCGGTGGATTCTAAAGCAAGTAAGAAAAACATCGGGAAACTGGACCTCCAGAGCTGCCCACAGGACCTTGCTGGCTGCAGTAGCACAGGGGACCAGACAGCCGCCACAGGTGCCAGTCAGTCCCAGCACCAGAGGAATGGGATCCCAGACGTTTCCCGAGGGGCGTGTTGCCTGTGGAGTTTCCCCACCAAAAGCAGTGAAGCTGACCCCTCCCCAAGACTTTAGATCTAGATTCCCGTTTGCAGGAAAACCCTGGGAAAGTGAGGAGGATCAGTTAGACGTCACCACCAGTCAGCAGAGACGTCCGCAATGAGAGAGCTTTGGACGGGTTCTTCTTTTTATTTTTTGAGATAGGCTCTCGCGCTGATGCCCAGGCTGGAGTGTAGTGCGGGTTTAAGGGTTCTCGTGCCTCAGCCTGCAGAGTAGTTGGGTTTAGCAGGTGTGCGCCACCACACCCGACTAATTTTTGTATGTTTAGTGGAGACGGGGCTACGCCATGTTGGCCAAGCTAGTCTTGAACTCCTGACCTCAAGTGATCTGCCCGCCTTGGCCCCCCAAAGTGCTGGGATGACAGGTGTGAGCCACCTCGCCCGGCCTGACCTGGTTTCTTAAACAAGCTTTGGTTTGAGATAAAATGGGGGGAGCTTGTTCTAAATTAAAAAGCAACTCCAGAGACATAAAGACCAAAAGCAGAATGGGGACTGTGTACCCCAAGCAGCAAACCAACCGCAAAGTCATCCGGAGAGACGGGGGGCATTTAAATCTGGACCCGTGTGGGGTGCTGCGAAGGAGACCGGGCTGACTGCGGTGCTGGGAGAGAGGCTGTGAGAGGCTGTCCTCCTCTGTCAGAGACTCATGGGCAATATTTAGAGACGAACTGAGGCAGCGTGTGCTGTTCCTTTAAAACATTTCACGTGCACACCAACAGCAAAGCACTCACAGCAGAGACTTACTAATTTGTTGGTAGAAATAAGAGATCTCATATGATTCTTTTGTTTTTTTGTTTGAAGATTGCCATCATACACAGAGGTGTGCAAGGCTGGGGGAAGAGGGGCCTTTTCTTCCCTTCCAGGATAAAGCCAGTAAGTAATTATGGCGTCCTGCGTCGTTTGCTGAAGCTCTCGCTCTGGTTACGACCCAAGCCTTTTCCTCCCCGCCTTCCTGCACCCCGCCTGCTGCTTGGCGCCGGTGAAGTGTGTTTATCAAAGCTCCTGGCCCAGCTTTGCTGACTCAGAGAACCTGGAGAGGCAGGGGAGCATTTAGGAAGAGAAGGCGCAGCCGGGGCTGGCTGGGGCTGGAGGGCCTCAGAAGCCGCCTGCGGGAGGAGAGCTCGGGCTCTGCGCTCTGGGAACCGAACTCGGGATCTGGCCTCCCGCCCTTCTCTCGCTGCTGGCTGGTCCCCAGAGTCAGGGGCGTGTCTCCCACCATAAGGAGGCAACACCCACCTGTGTCCCCAGTTGCACTGAGACACGCCCAAGGGTGGTGCCCGCAAGAGCACACACAGGTGACAGGTGGTGTGCCCAACAGCAGCTAACCTGGTACACAGGTGTGTGGGGGAGGGGTAACGCCAAACGCATTTCCCCCACTGATCTCGCCTGCACCCCTCCACACTCTGGGACCCAAGACGTCTCCCATTCCTGATGTCCCTGCTGACTGCTGGTGACATCTCACTGGTCCTCCTGCTCTTTCCCACTGTTTTCCTGCAAACAGGAATGTACATCTAAAGGCCTGGAGAGGCTCAGCTGCACTGCTGAACCAGAGGAGTGAGACTCAGGGGGAGATCCCGGCACTGGCTCCCCGGGCTGGCCCCTCTCAGGACCTGGCCAGGCCTGCAGCTGCCCCACCCCAAGGCTCACCCCTCCGCAGTGCGGGGACCCGGAGCCTGACCTTGGCCCCCTCTTGGGAGGGGACAGAGCAATGTTTGAAAGTAACAGGGGACATGAAGACTCCGTGCATTTCACTCGGACATTCAGGAAATAGCCTTGCAAATGCTGAGATTCCTTTATGACAATATTCCCTGCAAGTGTTATGAGTCTATAATAGGGAGAAGTTGGAAACAACCCTCATTTCCTGAAGCAGCCCTGGCCAGGTCAGAAAGGAATATCTAATGAGGTAGGAAAGGGCTCCAATACCTTACATTGAAAAGGGAAGTGGATGCGCAGGGCGGCTCCCATGTGTATTACACTCTATTGTGAAAAATGAGCTGGGAGAAGAGACACAACCTCTGTCAGAACTGGCACCTGCCAGCAGGCAGATCGGAAGGCGACCGTCTCTCTTGTTTCACAGGACTCTCCCGGTGGCTGTGTGGCTGACAGCGTCACCTCTGACTCCGGTGCTGTTCTAGGAATCCCGTCTGGAGCTTTACAGGCGAGTTGCAGGAATCACGGGCGACACTCTGCAAAAGAGGAAACTGGAGCCAATATCAGGGCAGCCCAGCGGGTGAGAGCGGAGTCAGGGTCCCGAGGCCCTGCAGCAACAGCGCCTTGGTGCGGGCAGCAAGGGCTGACACCATCCTAGGCAGCTCTTCATGGGGTCGGGGAGGGGGTCTGACGTTGCTCCCTGGACCTCTCCAATTCTCAGGGTGCACATGGGGCAGCCCCATCCCTTGGCCCTCTCCTGATTATCAGCGGACATTCTGGTCCAGCCAAAGGAACCACCTCCCAAGGGCAGAAACAGGCTCTGCCCCGGGGTGACTGCCTGCCCCCTGGGTGGGCAGGGCTCTTCCAGCCCCTCCTGTCCCCAGGGACCCAGGATGGGTCAGGGCTTGGCTGTGCCAGGAGGGAGCTAACCTCTGCACCCAGCACAGGACCTTCTGAAAGCCGAGGCTGCCGAGTGCCAGCCAGTCTCCCGGGCGCTGGCCTCCGTCCGCACGCGCCTGGCTTCAGAGGTTCCTTTTGCTTCCCAGTCGCTGCTACGGTTGCTGCTCACAGGACTTCACCATGGACAGGCCTGTGTTCAAATCTGCCTAGTCCTCGCACCCATGTGACCCTGGGCAGGTCCCCACTCTTGGTCCTCTTATCTGTACGGTGGGTGGTGCAGAGACAGTCCGTGGAAAGCAGCCGGCAGGGTCAGGGAAACCAAATGATCCCCCTCTCTGGCGTCTCTTATTTCCAGGCACGGAAGGGGAGGAAGCCGGTACTGAAGCAGAAGAGTGGCATTCAGGGGGCGACCCCGGCACTGGCTCCCTGGGCTGGTTCCTCTCAGGGCTGGCCAGGCCTGCAGCTGCCCTACTCGAGGCTCACCCCAGGGTGTGCAGTGGGTGGAAGGCTGGAATCCCCCACATCGTGGGCCTCTGCTGGGCTTGCTGAGGCTCAGGGCTGGGCGGGCACTCCCAGGACTGGCCCCCCGGCCTGGTCAGGGCCCAAGGGGCACAGGCCTCACTCCTCCCCCATGGAGCTGGGAATAGAGGAACTGTTTTGTGGTTAGAGCTCCCAACACACAGGAAAATCCCACCAGAAGCCTCAGGGCAGGGCCCGGAAACTGCGTGTGCAGAGGTCCCCGAGTCACCACAGTGCCCCCAAGGCACTGTGTCCTTGTCTCTGATATGGGCTGATGGCAATGCCCTATCTGCC